CACACACACACACACTCACTCATACACACACACACACACAATATGTTCAGTCTAGCAGACGTAATGACCGCTCAGGAATTCCTTCTGATCACTGTTTGGTCTGTTGGCATTACTGCACACACACACACACACACACTCACGCACACACTCTCTCACACACACACACACTCACACACACACACACACACTCACACACTCACACTCACACTCTCTCACACACACACTCACACACAGACACACACACACACACACACACACACACACAGACACACACACACACACACACACTCACACACTCACACACACACACACACACACATGACACACCTGACACCACACGACCTCACCACACACCCGTACCACACACACAGTCACACACACACACACTCACTCACACACTAACGACAATTCACGACACACAACACACACACACAACACCCCCGCTCACTCGCTACACACAGCATCACTCAGTCACACACAACACACTCTCACAACACACACTCAACACACACACACACACACACTCACACACACACACCCACACTCACACACACACCCTCACTCACACACACACTCACACACACACACACTCACTCACACACACACACACACACTCACACACACACACTCACACACACACACACACACACTCACACACACACACACACCCCCTTCCATACTTTCCTCCCAGCATCCTCTAGTCACACTCGGCTGTTAGTTCAAACTAGTTTAACGGGCTGGTTAACACAGTGATGACAGTGCGGTGCAGGTCGTTGTTGACCTCCATGTTTTCTCTGCAGAGCCTGAAGTCCGATGAGGAGGCAGGAAATCTGAGGGACAACGTCCAGCCAGACTTTCAGTCTAAAGGTACTGTCTACGTCTCGTTTACAGCCTCATCGGTTCCTCTCAGAACCTGAACTGAGAACCATGTGAATCTTTGGTTTGAGGTTCCTCTTGTGTCAGAGAACAGGACGTCATGAACGAGCCCACAGCAGGTGGACTCCATCACAGACATATTTATTATACAGTGACGTATTTATACATTTCATTTACACAGTGACTTAAAAGGATTGATGTCACTCTGTCTGTTGAGTTAAATAAGAAGCTACAGGCAGCAGCTGGTTAGTCCAGATCACCGGCAGCTGGTTAGTCCAGATCACCGGCAGCTGGTTAGTCCAGATCACTAGCACCGTCACAGATTACTAACTTCAGTCTGGTCCAACTCACCAGGAAAGAGATTGGAAAGAGAAAGAAATAGTCAGGTCTGTGTACAGATAAAAACAAGTGATATAACATGGTAGTCAGTGTTTCAGCTGCTGGGAGGTGGATTTAGTTTTCATTGAACAGAGCCGGTCTAGCTGTTTCCCTCTGTTTCCCTCTGTTTCCACTCTTTATGCTAAGCTAAGATAGCTCAGATTAACAGACGCTGACTCAGAGAGAAAGACAGAACTTCTGATCGACCAGAGTTTGTGTTTGTGCTCTGCAGCTCCTCAGCAGGAGGAAGTGGAGCAGGGGATAGTCAGAGGAGGAGCAGCAGGTGCAGGGGTCCATGTCCTGACGGCAGTTTGTGATCACCTGGGCCTGCAGCAGCTAAACACAGAGGTAAGACCCCGCCCACCGCCTGCAGGACCCCCACAAACACAGGTCAGTCTGGCTTTATTGATTGTGGGTCCTCCTCTCTGCTCTTGGTTAGAATATGGAGGGAAACATTTTATATAAAAGTTCATGTTTTGGGTTTTTACAACAAGGCACTGCTGGGATTCGAACCCAGGATCCCCTGTTTACGAGACAGGTGCTTTAACCACTAAGCCACAGTGCCTGGTTTTTTTGTCTTGCTGTACCCACTATCGAAAGGTCCGTCCATGAAGGGATCCACCAGGATCACCATTGGCCCTTTTCTACTGCATGGTATCGGCCCAACTGTACTTCCCTTTTTTGGTTTTCGAACAAGCAAAAGTTGTGGGTAGAACCTGACACTTTTTTAGTATCGCCTCCACCGAGGTTCCAAGTGAGTTGAGACGATACCAAAAGGTGACGTGAAAACGCTGCAGACCATCTACGACAAATAACGGGTCAAGGAAATTCCATGATAATCAGGCACTGCTGGGATTTGAACCCAGGATCTCCTGTTTACTAGACAGGCGCTTTAACCAGCTGAGCCACAGCGCCTGTTTTTCTTCTTGCAGCAGCCATTCTCAAAAGCTTAGTTTATGACGGCATCTTCCAGGACCCCTTTTCCATTGAATGGCACCGGCTCAACTTGAATCAACTCTCCTTTTCTGGTTTTCCATTGGGCAAAGTTGTGGGTAGGACCTGGTACTTTTTTAGTATCACCTCCACCGAGGTCCCAGTGAGTTGAGGTGAAAACACTGCAGACCATGTAAGACAAATGGATATACAGCAGGAATATTTTAAGGAACAAGACAAGGTTAAAACCTAGTATCTGACTGAACTGTGTCATTTTATCATTACTCCAGTATCAGCTGCTTCTCTTCTCCTCGCTGTGTTCAGTATGAAAGACAGACTGTAACACGGTCTTCCTTTGGTGTCAGACAGTGTGTGAAGGCACTGCTGGGATTTGAACCCAGGATTTCCTGTTTACAAGAGAGGTGCTTTAACCACTAAGCCACAGCACCCAGAGCGTCACAGGGGTCTTGAGCAAGGCGTGTGCCAAGATCAGCATTCACCAGGACCACCATCACCCCTTTCTAACGCTGTAGAACGGTACTCCCCTTTTTTGGTTGTGGGTAGATACCAAAAGCATCGTCTGAACTCAGACCATACACAACCAAAAACAGGTTAAGGAAATTGGGAAAAAAAAAGAAGGGATTTGAACCCAGGATCTCCTGTTTACAAGACAGGTGCTTTAACCACTAAGCCACAGCATCTTGCTGTACCTGCTATTGAAAGCTTGATTAATCAAGGTATCCACCACGCCCATCATTGGCCCCTTTCTACTGCATGTTACCGGCTCAACTCGACTCAACTGTACTCCCTGTTTTTGTAGTAGTACCTGGTGTAATCATGGCTCTTCAGCAAGGTGTTCACATGAGCCTGAGCCCTGCTGGGAGGTCGACGTCCATCTTCCTTTATTCCCTCAGTCTCGACTCCTGGACTGATTGTCTGGTCCTCTTCATTCAGCACCTAACCCTAACCCTAACCCAATCACACCTTCACCTCCAGTCACGTCTTTGCTCTGACTTCATGTGTCTCTAAACTTGACCGTAAAGAGCAACCGAACAGCCCGGTGGGTCTTGTTTTGCTGACCTCCAGTGGTTTAACTCCTCTTCTTTCTGCAGTGATGTACAGGTGTACTCCAGGACCCTGTGACATCACTGTTGGGCGTGGTTACAGGTACATGTGTCGTTGAGTGTGGTCAGTAGACTTTCCTTTGGACACTCCTCTCTGCTCCTGTGCTCCAGCTCAGATAAATTATCCACACTTTAACCGCTCAGTTCATTTTTCAGTAACTATGCGCACTAAATTAAATTCATTTAGATTTACCGGCATCGTAAACCAGCAGCAGGTGAAGCGGTGGAGACTCCCTACCTCTGTGTGTCCACACATAACAATCAAACGAGTTTCTTATAAAAATATTCCAAGTTATGAACATTGTCATCCTAAGTTTGTTTACACAAGACGTGCAGAACGTATCGTTGCCATGGTAGTTGCCGGTAAGCTGACCAATCAGAACACACTTTGCTCCAGCTCCGAGGGGGGGGCTTAAAGAGCCCTGAGCTCTAACAGAGCGTTTCAGACAGAGGGCGAGGACAGTGTAAAATGTACAGCAGAAGAAAATCTTTTGAGAACATTAAAGCACGTAAATCTTCGACTAAAGAATGAAATAATGAACACTAAAAACGGCCGTAATAGGTCCTCTTTAAATGAGAGAAACATGACACTTGATTTAAGGGGTTACCTTTGCAGCAACAAGGCACTGCTGGGATTTGAACCCAGGATCTCCTGTTTACTAGACAGGCGCTTTAACCAGCTGAGCCACAGCGCCTCTGTACATGTGCTCTCCTCTCATGTTAAACTCAAGTCCTAACAACTGTAAACTAATTAATGAAGGTCTTAAAGAGTAACAAAACACTGCTTGGTACCGGATCAACGTGACTCCATATACTCGCCTTTCTTGGTTTTCCATCATGCAATGTGAATAGTACATGGTACTTTTTTTGGTATCCCGTCCACTGAGGCTCCAAGTGAGCTGAGGTGACATGAAAACACTGCAGACCATAGACTACAAACAACTGGTCAAGGAAATTCAGCAATAACGAGGTACTGCTGGGATTTGAACCCAGGATCTCCTGTTTACTAGGCAGGCGCTTTAACCAGCTGAGCCACAGCGCCTGTGCAAATCTTCACTTCTGTCATATCAAAACTCCAATCCTATCAAAGACATCAGCACCCCTTTTCTTGCTCTTTATAACTCTGGATGAACGGGTATGATCTCTTTACATCACTACGTCTCACACCGCCAGCTCTGGGTCTGCAGCGAGCTACAAGAAGAAGCTAGCTCAGCGTTCTCGGCACGGACATCATGGCAGAGGTAAAGAGACCAGCTCCTAGCATCTTCATGTTAGCTCACAGCTAACATGCTGTTGTGGGTTCAGATTTTTCACTCAGTCAGATCAGCTGACTTAACATGAGTGGACAGAGTGATTGATGGTTTGTACTGAGAGGATGAGTTTGTGTTTGTTGCCTGAGCAAGTGAAAGGCTTTGTTTTCTTTACATTAGCGGTTAGCTTCTGGAGCTATGCCCTTAACCTGTCAGAGCCCAACAGAATTTGATTACAAAAACAAATACGGTACATATTATATATATTTTTAAACATCGTGACATCCATGTTGTTGGGGATTTGGGATCATTTTCTGAGTGCCGTCTGCACCTGAAACAGTCTCTCTGGAAGTCCACGATAAGTCCTCTTTAGGCCCCTTGTGGACCTGATGAACAGAACCCTCAAGCCTGCAGGTGTGGGGAAGTCCGGACATCTGGATCCTTGTTATTTTGACCTTTGACCTTTGACCTTTTGCAGGAGCTGGACTTGCTGCTCAGAAAGTTGGATGCCGACCTGGACGGCAGAGTCAGTATCAGGGATTTCCAGAAGGTTCTTTGTGGCTCCGCCCCCGTCTCCTGCTCCACCCCAGTACGACCTGCTGACCTGAGGAGGGCGCTACACGGGGTCAGACACACACACACACACACACACACACACACACACACAGTTAGATGTCATGCTGAGCTTGTTTACTTTCACACATCACCACATACGTACCAGACAAACATGAAGCATCAGTCAGTTTAAATCAGACACAGTTGAACCTTCAGTAAAACTTCAGTCCTCACTCACCTGATGTTCATTTCTTCTTCTTCATATTTTCACTGTTGATCTTTTCAAACTGAACTACAGCCACTGATAAGTGAGATCATCTCCCGCAAACAAACTTTCTGATTTTCTGAGGAGCTCCTGAATGCAGCCTCCCCAGAGCTCCTATCAGGTGTCTGTGCTGCAGCTGAGAGGCACCAGTCCAATCAGCTGCTGCAGGTGAACAGGTACCTGTTCAGACAGACAGGTAGAAATCATCATGTACTGCACGTCAGGTCTGATGTCAGGCTGCGGTTTGTTGACGTGGGTGAGGACAGACAGGACGAGGACGTACAGGGGGGCGTCCTGCTACACACAGGTGAAGGTGATTCAGTGTTTCAGCTCAGACTGCTGCTGTCCCTGTTCTGGACTGGTGGTCTGGATGTCTGTCCCAGGCCTCCTGACTCTCAGTGAAAGTATGCTAATCCAGATTAGAGGTTACCACATCACACAACAACAGGCGTTCATGAGCCGCCTGTGAAACCTGTTCATTAGAGTGTGGGCCAGAGCAGACACACACACCTTCACCTCAGCTGTGAACTAACGTCTGATTCTGTTTTCTGGTCCTCCATGCAGTCTCAGTCGGTGTTAGAGGAGCGCTCGGCTCGCTCCACCTCGCCCTCCCTGCTGACGGCCACCGTGGGTCAACGAATCCTCAGCCGGCTGGACGACGGCTCAGGATGCACCAGCCCCGAGCAGGTCATCGGCCTCTGGACCGAGGAGGGCATCAGGAACAGCCGGGACATCTTGCAGGTCAGTACGCACCAGGACCAGGACCAGGACCAGGCCTCTTACTTTTAGTTGGGCCTGAAGACTCAGAGGTCACGTCCTCTGTGTGTTTGATCTGAAGCATATTTTATATTTTATCATTTAGAGCTTCACATACAGGAGGTGGGTCGTTTAAGAGACGGACACCGGTGTTTTTAACATGCTGCATCCTAATAATATATACTGTATATATATATATATATTATTAGGATGCATACATGTATATGTATGTATATGTATATATGTATGTTTTATTTGGAACTGTTAGAACCAATGAGTTAAAATGTCCCTCCAGGTGCAGGTATGTTGTCTGCAGTCCACAGACTGAAACCTCAGGGATGTACAGTGATTTAAAATATAAATATAATATATATGGTTCATTTAAACTGCATAAATCAACACACAGAGTCAGTCAGAGCTGAGTTCATTTACTTCCTGATAGATTCAATAAATATTAACAAGTGAGAGTCAGGTGAGGCTCACCTGATCACAGGACATCAGATCGTTGTGTCACATGGGAAGTAGATTTGTGTTCTGTCTAGATAAACACACAGAACGTGAAATTAATTCAGCAGCTGTAGATGAAGCTCAAGGCTGATAAAGGTCTCTTCATTGATTTTACGCTCATCTAAGTCATAAGATATTTTGGGAAGCGAGGCCCGGATCAATAACTGAGGTCAGTCAGCTGCAGCTGTTCAGTTGGTCTGGTGGATATTTAATCAGCATGTTTATCATCCGAGCTTTAGTCATTTACTTACAGATGTTGAAGGTTAAAAGGATGCGACTCGGTCAGTCTGGTTTCGCAGACCGAGCTGATCCTGGAGGCTGAACCGCAGGTTTCACATTCCTGCCAGTGAGGCCGAGTGTTGGACTGAGCCGTGGCTCAACATAAAGTGTCTGAGGAGGTTCTGGTTCAGATCCCGAGGCAGGAAGAGGTGAAGGTTTCACTCTGAGAAGACTTTAGTACATCTATAACTCTGGTTTGTGTGGAGATACTCATCAGATCAGGTCCGGTGAAAGTTTAGCTCCAAGTCCAGAACATGATGCAGACCGGAACCTCCTTTAAAACACAATCAGAGCCATGTAGAGATGAAGGTCTGTCTCTGACATACAGTGGTTTCAGGAGCTGGTTCTGGCTGCAGCTGAGTAACCTTTATGTTTTTGGATGTCCCCCTTCAGACCCTGGACTTCCCTCTGGAGGAGCGTCTCAGTCTGGCCGACCTGACTCTGGCTCTGGACAACGAGCTGCTGGTCGGCGGGAACGGCATCCACCAGGCGGCGCTCATCTCCTACAAGAACGAGATCCAGCACCTGCAGTAGGTCTCAGACCTGAACCAGGTCTCAGTGTGAATCTGGACCCGGTGCTGACACGTGTTCTGTGGTTGATCAGTGATGATCATTGGCTCTCTGTTGACCTCAGGCTGAGAATGAGATTAGTATTGATCAGTGTATTGATCACACTCTGGTGTAAACTGAACCAGCTGACTACAACCAGCAACAAGGTGATGGAGGAGCTAGGCTAACACTTTCCATCTGCCTCCAGTCTTTATGCTAAGCTAGGCTAAACACAGATGAAATCCGGCTGGAACATCTGGACTGTTCCTTTAATCAAACCGGTGAAGTCAGAACTTTGACCCCATGACATCATCAGACTCGATTTCCTGTCAAATCCACTGACATCATCTCAAACCAGTTCACAGCTGCTAGGTCAGCTGCAGCCTGGAGGTCAAAGGTCAGGTCAACATCATCCGACATCAGCTCTCTCTGTTACCACCACAGCAGAGGTGCCGTTTAGCAATGCAGCCTGGTCAGTGGTCACCAGTATCAGACTGGTTGTACTGGAGAAGCGGACTGGAGCTCAGTGGATATGAAGGGTCAAATATTGGCTTATTGATCAGGTTATTAACTGTCCTCGAGGTGATCAGCTGATCTGAGTTCAGTCACTCATGAGACGTGAACTGACAGTTACTATATAATATGATACTGTAAAATACACACACACACATACACATATATATCTATATATACTGTATCTATAGATCTATGGATAGATCTATATCTATCTATAGATATGTGGAGGCTCTGGTTCAGATCCCGAGGCAGGAGGAGGTGAAGGTTTCACTATGTGTGTACATATATATCTTCATGGATCTGACGTTGTGCACGAGGTCACTGTGAAACTCCACATGACATAAAGGTTCAGAACATGGTGTCCACATACTTGTGCCCATATGTGTCCTGTATGAGAAGAGGAGATATATCTATAGGGGCCTGCTGTGGCTCAGCTGCTCAGTTTCACGTCATCAAGACTGGAGCAGATCCTGAAACAGTTTCTCTGTCAGCTCCACCTGTGAGGGAGGAGTCACTGTCCGTTGCTTCACTCTGTGCATAGAACAAACTACTGTGAGTCATAAACAGACGTGTCTCAGGTCTGTTGTGTTTTATCTCTGCTAACAGAGCGTCTCCATCACCTGCTGTTTGATTATCAGCTGATTGATTATTGATCACAATATTTTCTGCCTGATACACTGTGATCCAGAACAAAACTGCAGCGACGTTTTCTATCAACATAATGAGGAAATTGTGATGATCCTGAACGTATCAGTAAAGTGTGTGTGTGTGTGTGTGTGTGTGTGTGTGTGTGTGTGTGTGTGTGTGTGTGTGTAGGGTAGTGGCGGAACAGGCCTGCAGGGAGCGGGACAAGGTGAAGGCAGACCTGGATCTGGCCGATCAGAGGAACCTGCAGCTGGTCAGAGAAGTGGACGACCGCCACGCCAGCATGGAGACGCTGAACCAGAGCAGGATCAGGTCAGAGCTGCAGGTTTCTACTGGTCTCTACTGGTTTCTACTGGTCTCTATAGTGTATATATGGTCAAGCCTGAAATTATTCATACCCCTGGCAAATTTTGACTTAAAGTTACTTTTATTCAAGCAGCAAGTTTTTTTTGACCGGAAATGACACAGGCTTCTCCCAGAAGATAAGACGATGATCATTGTGTAAAAAAATATTTCTCAGCTTTTATTTACATTTGAACAAAAAGTGGCATGTCCAAAATTATTCATACCCTTCTCAATAATCAATAGAAAAGCCTTTATTGGCTATTACAGCGATCAAACGCTTCCTATAATTGCTGACCAGCTTTCTGCATGTCTCCACTGGTATTTTTGCCCATTCATCTTCAGCGATGAGCTCCAACTCTTTCAGGTTGGAGGGTCTCCTTGCCTTCACCCTAATCTTCAGCTCCCTCCACAGATTCTCAATTGGCTTCAAGTCAGGACTCTGGCTGGGCCACTGCAAAACTAACCACTTCTTCACCGCTCTTGCTGTGTGTTTTGGGTCGTTGTCGTGCTGAAATGTCCACTGGAGCCCAAGGCCAAGTTTCTCTGCAGACTGCCTGATGTTGTTGACAATCTTGATGGATTGCTCTTTTTTCATGGTGCCGTTTACTGTGATCAGGTTCCCTGGTGCATTGGCTGAAAAACACCCCCAAAGCATTAGGTTCCCACCAGCATGTTTGACAGTGGGATGGTGTTCTTAGGGTTGAAGGCTTCTCCTTTTCTACGCCAAATGAAGGATACATCATCATGGCAACACAATTCAATTTTTGTTTTATCTGACCATAAAACAGAAGAGCAGAAGTCTTCTTCTTTGTCCAGATGATGATTTGCAAAGGCCAAGCGGGCTTTTGTGTGTCCGTTGGACTGTCTGCCGTGAGACGTTGCCACCAGCAGAGCCAGGATTCACTAGGATGGCCTTGGTGGTGAACCTTGGATTCTTCTTCACCTCTCTCACTATCCTCCTGGCCAGCACAGGTGTCCTCTGAGATTTTCCACAGTGCGGAACGTCTTGTATTTTTTAATAATACTTTGCACTGTAGCCACTGGAACTTGAAAACATTTAGATATGGCCTTATAGCCCTTTCCTGACTTGTGAGCAGCCACAATGTGCAGCCGCAGGTCTTCAGTGAGCTCCTTTGTCTCAGCCATGACTGTCCACAAACCAACTGCAGAGAGCTGCTGTTTTTCACCTGTTAAGTTGATTAAAACAGCTGTTCCCAATGAATCAGGGTATTTAAGATGCTTTAGAACAGCTTGGACTATTTGGAATGTGTAGAACTTTGGATTTTCCCATAGACTGTGACAGTTTGCAAAGGGTATGAATAATTTTGGACTTCCCACTTTTTGTTCAAATGTAAATAAAAGCTGAGAAATATTTTTTTCCACCTGGTTGAATAAAAGTAACTTTAAGTCAAAATTTGCCAGGGGTATGAATAATTTCGGGCTTGACTGTATATATATATGAATGAATGAATGAATGTGACTGGTGTTGATGAGCCGCTCTGTGATTGGCAGGGACCTGGAGCAGGACTTCCGTGATAGGCTGACGGCTCTGCGCAGTCAGTCAGAGCAGGAGAGCGAGGCGCTGCTGCAGCAGGTGGAGAGAGAGCGAGACGCGCTGCAGGAGGAGCTACAGCTGCTCAGAGCGCAGGAGGCGGAGCTTCAGGAGGACCTCTGCAGTGTCACACAGGTCTGTACGCATCATCACTCACCTGCTCCTACAGGTGATCTGATGTTACCGCCATGTGTTTAAGTCTTCAAGAGGAAACTGTCATCAGTGTCAGCTGACAGTTTAAAAAAGTCAAAAACAAAACAACCAAGTTTTAAATTCAGATAGATCACCTGGAGGAAAATGAAACTTGTGAATGAATTTATAATTGATCATCTGATGAAAGAATGTCAGTCCATGTGTGTTTGATTGATCCTTTATTCAAAGGAATCACGTCTGTTCCCTGATACATTTGTATAGATTTATGATCAGTAATCCTTCCTGTTTGTTTCCATCTGAACAGAAATAAGAATATTAAAGTATTAAAGTCTGTGTTGTTGTTGTTGTTGTTGTTGTTGTTGTTGTTGTTGTTGTTGTTGTTGTTGTTGTTGTTGTTGTTGTTGTTGTTGTTGTTGTTGTTGTTGTTGTTGTTGTTGTTGTTGTTGTTGTTGTTGTTGTTGTTGTTGTTGTTGTTGTTGTTGTTGTTGTTGTTGTTGTTGTTGTTGTTGTTGTTGTTGTTGTTGTTGTTGTTGTTGTTGTTGTTGTTGTTGTTGTTGTTGTTGTTGTTGTTGTTGTTGTTGTTGTTGTTGTTGTTGTTGTTGTTGTTGTTGTTGTTGTTGTTGTTGTTGTTATTGTTGTTGTTGTGGTGTTCAGGACAACAGTCGTCTGGAGGAGGAGCTCAGCTCTGTGAAGATGAAACTGACTGAAGCAGAAAGTTCAGTCAACAAACTGCAGAGAGACCTGGACCAGCTGCTGCACGACAAGGTCACACAACTACACACATCTACACATCTACACAACTACACATCTACACAACTACACATCTACACATCTACACAACTACACATCTACACATCTACACAACTACACATCTACACATCTACACAACTACACATCTACACATCTACACAACTACACATCTACACATCTACACAACTACACATCTACACATCTACACAACTACACATCTACACATCTACACAACTACACATCTACACATCTACACAACTACACATCTACACATCTACACAACTACACATCTACACATCTACACAACTACACATCTACACATCTACACAACTACACATCTACACATCTACACAACTACACATCTACACATCTACACAACTACACATCTACACATCTACACAACTACACATCTACACATCTACACAACTACACATCTACACATCTACACAACTACACATCTACACATCTACACAACTACACATCTACACATCTACACAACTACACATCTACACATCTACACAACTACACATCTACACATCTACACAACTACACATCTACACATCTACACAACTACACATCTACACATCTACACAACTACACATCTACACATCTACACAACTACACATCTACACATCTACACAACTACACATCTACACATCTACACAACTACACATCTACACATCTACACAACTACACATCTACACATCTACACAACTACACATCTACACATCTACACAACTACACATCTACACATCTACACAACTACACATCTACACATCTACACAACTACACATCTACACATCTACACAACTACACATCTACACATCTACACAACTACACATCTACACATCTACACAACTACACATCTACACATCTACACAACTACACATCTACACATCTACACAACTACACATCTACACATCTACACAACTACACATCTACACATCTACACAACTACACATCTACACATCTACACAACTACACATCTACACATCTACACAACTACACATCTACACATCTACACAACTACACATCTACACATCTACACAACTACACATCTACACATCTACACAACTACACATCTACACATCTACACAACTACACATCTACACATCTACACAACTACACATCTACACATCTACACAACTACACATCTACACATCTACACAACTACACATCTACACATCTACACAACTACACATCTACACATCTACACAACTACACATCTACACATCTACACAACTACACATCTACACATCTACACAACTACACATCTACACAACTACACACAACTACACAACTACACATCTACACAACTACACAAATACACATCTACACAACTACACAACTACACACATCTACACAACTACACATCTACACATCTACACAACTACACAACTACACACATCTACACAACTACACACAACTACACACATCTACACAACTACACAACTACACAACTACACAACTACACATCTACACAACTACACAACTACACAACTACACACAGAGTGTCTTCTCCCCCTGCAGCAGTGAATCAGACTGATGGTTTGATTTCAGTGTTTCACTAACCACAGTTCATTTAACTGAGTTAGAACCAGTTTGAATCTGTTCTACATACGGGACCTCCACACACACACACACACACACACACACACACACACACACACACAGTGGTGTAAGGTGACCCGTCTCCTTGTAGCTGATGAATTATTGAAGGATGTTTCCT